AGCACTGCATCTTGAAAATGATCCATTAGATCTAATGAGTCTACGAAATCTTGAAAATAATACACTGAATCATGAAAACCTCCTGCTGATCAAATTGCCGAGACCCATGGGCACACGGTAATTGACTCAGACACTACTGTTATCCAAGGACAAACAGTAGGCAATTCTACGTTAAAAAATGAGTGCGACAATACTCTCAAAATGGAAAAGGAAAATTGTCATAATCTTGAAACACTGAATCTTGAAACTCTGAATCTTGAAAATACGCTGAATCTTGAAACTCTGAATCTTGAAAATACGCTGAATCTTGAAACTCTGAATCTTAAAAATACGCTGAATCTTGAAACTCTGAATCTTGAAAATACGCTGAATCTTGAATCTCGCAGCACTGAAACCCAAGGGCTTGAAGTGACTAATCTGGATACTGCTGTTACCCGAGGACGTACAGTAGTAGGCTCAATATCTCATTCTGAGTACGACGATACTCTCGAAAGGAAAAAGGAAAATCGTCAAAATCTTGAATACAACTTCGATGGAGATAGCAATATAGAAAATCGCCTCCATTCCATTATTCAGTTATTACGACTGGATCATCTAAACGCCGAAGAAAGGCATAACATTATTTCGTTGATATCAGAACATACAGATAGATTTCATTTACCCGATGAAAAACTCGGAACTACTAATTCTGCTAAACACTTTATACCAACCGTTAATGAAGTGCCAATACACACTAAGCAATATCGATTTCCTCCGATACATAAAACCGAAATCGATACTCAAGTACATAATCTATTGCTTGATGGACTAATCGAAGGCTCCACATCACCATACAATTCCCCTGTATGGATAGTGCCAAAGAAACCCGACTCATCTGGAATAACGATGGAGAATGGTTATCGATTATCGAAATTTGAACGAAAAAACTATTGGTGATGCTTATCCGCTCCCAAACATATCTGATATTCTCGACCAACTTGGATGTGCAAAATATTTTTCTGTACTAGATTTAGCTTCTGGATTTCATCAAATTCCTATGGCTCAGAAAGATGCACATAAAACTGCTTTTTCCACACCATACGGACACTATCAGTTCAAAAGAATGCCATTCGGATTAAAGAATGCCCCCTCTACTTTTCAAAGACTTATGGATAACGTACTCTCTGGATTACAAGGAAATGAATTATT